GGAGGGTAATCCAATTTTCCTAAATTCATCTGGGAAAGAGAAAACACCCTTGAAGCAGGGTTCTCAAGACAGATAAAATGTTTGTAGCTTCCTTTCTATTTACAAATAAATGTAACAGAAAGAATATAAATATTAAAATAAACGCTTGATATTAAGGCCATCTGTAACAAATTATAAAAATACTAGTTATTGGGTTTACACATCATTGAAGCAGTCTCCTTAATAGCAAACGATGTAACAATACAGAATATTTGTTGCAGTTTCTCTTCTATTTACACATAAACGTAACAGAATATGAAATATAAAAATACACTTCTGAAATGACAGTAATCTTTTATATGAGTTATTGGGTTTATATATAATTGAAGCAAGGTTCTCAAGGAGGATAAAATGTAACAACACAAAATATATTGTGTAACTTCCCTTCTATTTACAAATAAATGTAACAGACAAGAAATATAAAACATAAAAATAAACTTCAGAAATGAAAGTAAAATGTTAGAAATGATAAATATTATTTATTGGGATTGCCTATAATTGAAGCAGGTTCTTTAGCAGCAGAAAGGATGTGACAATTCCGTTGGTTCTCAGTGAGGATAAAATATAACAACACAAAATATATTTTCTAGCTATTCTTCTATTTACAAATAAATGTAACAGACAGAATATAAAATATTAAAATAAACTTTTGAAATAACAGCAATCTGTTACAAATGATAAGAAATACTAGTTACTGGGTTTACATATAATTGAAGCAGTCTCTTTAACAGCAGAAAGGATGTAACAATTCAGAATATTTGTTGCAGCTTCTCTTCTATTTACACATAAATGTAACAGACAGGAATATGAAATATACAAATAAACTTCTGAAATGACAGTAATCTTTTACATTAGTGGGTTTGCATATAACTGAGGCAAGGTTCTCAAGGAGGATAAAATGTAACAACACAAAATATATTTTATAACTTCTCTTCTATTTAAAAAAATACATGTAACAGACAAGAAATATAAAAAGTAAAAATAAACTTCTGAAATGACAGTAATCTGTTACAAATGATAAATATTATTTATTGGGATTACCTATAATTGAAGCAGGTTCTTTAACAGCAGAAAGGATGTGACAATTCCGTTGGCTCTCATCACGCAGGATAAAATATAACAACACAACATATATATTGTAACTTCTTTTCTGTTTGCAAATAAATGTATCAGCACAAGATGTGATCGGAAGCTGCAGTACCGCCGTGCGGACAGATGGGGGAGCTCGCGTACTACAGTCAGTTTGCACTCTGCAAGGCAGATCCAGTTGCAGGAGGGTCCTAATTAGGAGATACATGGAGGGGGATTAAGAAGCTGCATAAGTGACCCCTTGCCTGACCCTTTCAGAGCAGGTGGGCTGCAGTATAACCCAGTGACTGCACGACTTACCAAAGAGAACGCATTAACCCTTTCCTGCCAGGACACAGGCTGGGAAATCAGATCAGTGCAGTGCTATGTGGTCTATTAATTCTGATTAAGACAAACGATAAAGGAGATGTATCTTACACGACAAAGCAAACTAAGGTTTGTATTGGCACAATTGCTTCATTTTATCATTGCAATTGGATGTGTTGATTACGTGTAGAGATTCCCATGCCTTGTGGGTGTAAATGATATGTTAGATGTATTTATTCTATTCTGTGGTCACACATGTGAAGTTCTGAAGAATGCTGTCTGAGCTTATCCTGGTGGGACCCAAGACTCTGCCCCTTTAAGAGGCGGAGTTGAGGGGGTCACAGGGGGGGCTGGGAGGGTGTGGGAATATTCCTCATCTGGAAGATACAAAGCTAACGCTTCTCAGAGCAGATCAGGAGCAAAGAGAGAGGCAGTCAGGCTGTGTGGTGGGTTCCTAGGGTGACTGGTACTTTTCTTTGCTCAGAGCATGGTGCCAACCCTTGCCCCTGGCACTGATGGCCACTGCAGGGGGCTGGTCACAACTTTCTAAGAACTGGGGACCCTGGAAGATGGCATAAGGAGCTCAGCAGCGGTGGACAAAGAGCTCAACATGTGCCCAAGGAGGGATGAATAAGACACAGAGAGCTGCCTGCAGCGTGCCAGGTGGGCACCCGACAATATGCCCAGCCAGGAAAATGTGCGACACCTAACTCCTGGACAAAGAGGTACCTTAAATGATGCTCCCGAGGGACCAGTGGACCAAGGATCTTCCCACTTGTACCGATAGAGAGGATGTACCCATGGAATAAGTGCCCTGTGCCCTTAGGGTTATTGTGATTGTACCAAGCTCTGTTCGTGCCCAGCTAGGATGAGGACTGCTCTGGTACTGGTCACTTCAGGGCTTCTCCTGGTGATAGGGGGTGTCTTCTGGATAAGGAAAGATCCTCATCCTGTTGAACAACCTGGGCACCCCCATCCACGACCTCCCAGGGCACTGCGCCTGCCTGCGCTTGCCCCGCAGACTCCACCGGTCACCGAGGGCCACTCCAGTGCCCAGGGGTTATTTCCAGGGCACACGAACCCAGAGAACCGTTCACAGCCCAGCTTTTCCCTGGAGCAGGGCATCTACTGGCCACGGGCACTGGAGAGGGCATTGCCTCAAGGCTTTACGGATGAATACTCTCAACGTTGGCAGCAATTTGCCCGCACTGCCAGCGTGGTGGCCCTGGAGAGAGGCTGTGGGCGCAGCACCAACCGGCTTGCAACCTTATCAGATGGCAGCAAAGCCTGCGTACGGTATGGCATCAACCCTGAACAGATCCAGGGAGAAGTCCTCTCCTTCTACCTATCTCGACTGCTGGGGCTGCCAGCTGTGCCACCCTGCATCCTCTCCAAAGTGGGCAGCATGCAATGGGCACCGGTGCTAGCTGAGTTGGGGGGCACAGGCTGGGTAGCAGGATCCTTTGTCACGATGACCCCTTGGCTGCATAACCTCAGCTCAGTCCTGCCACCCCTTGCCCTGCGAGCTGAGGATGGCAAACTGCGCCCTTTGCTGGAGGAATTACACTCAGGATACACTGGAATGGTCGAGCTGGCACAATGGGGCGACTTGATTGTCTTTGACTACCTGACCGCCAACTTTGACAGGCTGGTGAGTAATCTTTTCAGCCTCCAGTGGGATGCTCGGGTCATGTTGCGCGGAACTAACAACCTCCATCGATCACCAGATGGCACCTTGGTTTTGCTGGATAACGAGGCCGGACTGGCACATGGTTACAGGGTTCGGGACACCTGGGACAAGTACAACAAAGAGCTGCTGGCTACAGTGTGCCTGTTCCGCAGGGGCATGGTGCGGAAACTGCGGGAGCTTTACTTAGGGCAACGCACCGCGGAGGAGCTGCACTCATTGTACTTGGCTGGTGAACCGCTGGCCGCGGAACTCGGCTTATTAACTGAGTCGGAGGCACAGGTCTTACAAGACAGAGTGGGACTTCTATATAGACACATACAGAGCTGCCAGGACAGGTACAGCTGATAAATGTGGATCTAGAACCTAAGGGTCACATTTGTCAAGGACAACTTTCTTGTAGGACACTGCCACCAAAAGCAGAGAAAGTTTAAAAATCTCGTTTTTTTTAATATAAAAGTTTACTAACTGTGTTATCTGTAAAGAGATGCTTGTACTACTGATTGATCTGTCTAAAAATGATGAGATTTAATTACAGTTCCAAGAGCAATGACATGCAGTGGCCCCTAGCAACCAATCAGAATGACCGCCTCTTGTTCTTATCTGGCTAAACGGATGAAGGGTGGAAATCGATTGGTTGATATGGGTGAGGACACTTTGCACTCCATGGTTGCACTTTGTACTGCTTTGTATTAGCTTTATTTAATAACACTGTGCGAACAGCAAGGAAGTGCCCTGAGCCATAGCGGCCTATCAGAAATCAGAATTCATTAGTAAACTGATTTTTGGTTCATGTTATGAAATGGCACTTCATGCTTTTTGCATTCTGATGATGATATTTGTACAGGTTAAAGGGGATTGTGGTGGGATGAATATAACACGTGGTTAAGGTGAATGTGAACCCCAAAATCTATTGTCTGTCATCATGTCTCACTAGATACAGTGTGTGTGTGTGGGGGGGGGGGGATTTATCAAAACTGGAGCAGATTTGCACTGCAGCCTATCAGCTTCTCTGTCTCGTTTTCAAATCTTACTGGAGCAAACTGAAAAGAGAAGCTGATTGGTTGCCATGAGCAACTGCTCCACATTCTGTCTGCTCCAGTTTTGATCAATTCCCCCCAGTGAGTCCATCAAGTTCATTCTGTGCGGGGGACAAAGAGCCCAACGTGTGCCCAAGGAGGAATGAATAGGACACAAAGATCTCTCTGCAGCGTGCCAGGTGGGCAGCGTGCTAGCAATAGATTTGAACAAATCATTTTGTGCAAAAATTGCTAAGTCTCTTACCTGGAGATCCTGCCAAGGACAACACTTCCTGTTCCAGACTGACAGCACTAAGCCACTGCCGTGCAATTAGCAGCAGCGTTGTCAGCCTGCCCTGAGCAGCGTTGTCAGCCTGCCGTGTGCGCTCCTTTAGTTGGGCATTGGGCTGTCAATCTGATAGACCTGATAAGCAACCCAATGCCCAACTGACGGAGCGCGCATAGCAAGCTGACAACAATGCCAGTAGTTGAGAGCCAGTGGCTTAGCGTTGTCAGCCTGTAACAGGACGTTCTGTTACTGACAGTTGCCGCAATTTACAAAACACGATTTGTCTCACTGTATACTGTGAGACATGATGACAAACATAGTAACAAATAAATCTAGGGTTTACTTACACCAGGGGTAGGCAACCGCGGAACTCCAGCTGTGCTAAAACTACAAATGTGTTAATGCTTCTGCCTCTGGGAGTCATGTCTGTGGCTGTCAGAGTTTTGAAGTTCCTCATGGGACTTGTAGTTCCACCACAGCCGGAGTGCTGAAGTTGCCCACCCCTGACATACACTGTACACGGTGTACACACATCACAATCTTATTTTTAATACTTTCCGTTAACATTGTTGGCTGATTATTGAAACACGTGCGCTGGTTTCCGATCCGTATATCTGATCAGATGGAATTTCTGTCGGATGTGGCGGAAGATTTCTCGCTCTGTCCAATTAAATTGTAACCTGTGGAGTTCCCCTATTGCGATAATTTTTCCGTTCATAATGAATGTGTAGCGAATGATTGACAGTTCATAGGATGAGAGATCTATTTATTTTTGTTTTTTTCTTTTTAGGTGTCTTTATAACAAAAGACAAGTCATGTTCCTTCCAGTATTAGAATGAAAAGAGGAAACAGCTGAAAAGCATTGAATTGATTGAATGAAAAACGATGGTAACATGTGGCCATGATTAATACGGCAAAAGGGGCGACGTGCAAAGGGCAGTAATTCCAAACAACCAATCAGAATTAATCTTTCTTTGTTCTGAATCCCTTTAGCTTGGTTATGGCGGGTTCCTGCGCTTTGCACGCCGCCATTACCCTTTGCCTTATTAAAGTGGGAAGAAGGTGAAACGGTGCAAGCGTTTTATTGTTACACGGAGGCCTGATTAATGGAAGTCACCGTATGATCAATGATTGCCAGGAATAGAGCTTAAAGCACTGGAGATGATCCAGAAACAAAGGACCAAAATAAACCCGTCTGAAATTCACAGTGTTCCTTTATTTCAGATTCGAGGCAGTGTACAACTGCGCAATGCTCTGCAAGCCGGAAGATGTAAAGTCTAAAAGCTACCAATGCAGTGGGGATTCCCTGGCGCTGCAAGTGTTAACAGCTTGATGCTTTTGTTGGAGTAAAGCACTTTTACTTACCTGATCCCCGCTCCCACTGGCTCCAAGAGCGGCGCCGCATCCTCTTCTTCCCTCTGCTCTGGCGGTCAGAGGTCCACTGACGTCATCACGTCTAATACAGGTTCCCTAGACCTGCAATAGATGCGAGGTCGCTCAGGAACAGTCCACCACATAATTGGAGGGGAGGGGGGCGGGGGGCAAGGTGAGCGTCCCACTAGGGAGCGGGGATTTGTCTAGGGGTTCAGAGTAAAGCATTTTTGTTTACCAGATCCCCACTCCCACTGGCTTCAAGGACCACACCACATCCTCTTCTTTCCTTCGCTCCGCTAGTCACAGAGGTCCACGGAGGTTATCACTTCTAATGCATGTTCCATAGACCTGCATTAGATGCGAGGACGCTTAGGCACAGTCCACCAGCCAGAGTGGAGGGGGAGACAAGGTGAGCGTCCCACTAGGAAGCGGGGATTAGGTAAGCTTTTGTCCAGGGGATCGGAGTAAAGACCTGCATTAGGCGCAAGGACGCTGAGGGACAGTCCGCCAGACGTAGGTGAGCGGGGGATTAGATTAGACGGAGGTGACCAATGGGGAGCGGGGATTAGATAAGTAAAAGTGCTTTACTCCACTAGACTTCCAGAGCGGGGGAGGCCCCACTGCAGGGGGGTTTTGGTTTGCCCGGAGATGGGCTTTAATATATTCTTTTTTATGAGGAAAATATGGACGCGGTTTCTGATCCTCTACAGAATATGCCAGTTTCCTGGCTATTGTACTGATGCTCTGGGCTCAGTATTACTGACCCAGTACAAGTGCACACACCTGAAATTTTGACTTCACCAGCCATATAAAGTGGTTCAGTGTACATTGACATTATTGAAGCCAGAGGATTGATATGAAAACCAGGTAAGTGACATTTTCAAAAGAAAGTTAGGATCGCTTGGCATGCTGATACCCAAGTAGGCAGTGAATGGTGGTATCAAAGATTGCAAAATGCATTCACTTTAATGCCCCCCCTTCCCCTCCCAGCAGTGCATTTAATTTTTTCACCACACCTCTATGTCTCTGTTCCTTTTAACTATTGGGAGTGGAGAAAACACCCAGAACCTCCCAGTATGGAGGTGTGCATGACTCCCCCTTCCTCTTTGGTTACAGAGTTGGACTTTGGTAAGGGTGCACTCACGTTTAGAGCAAACCCTAGTTCATCCAGACCGGGAAGGGAGAGAATAGTGCTGGCTGAATCAGCTGTGGCCGGGGCATTCCCTACCCTGTAGCTGCAGGAAAACAAAAGGGTGGAATGCTGATGACATCATTGAGCTTATATGGCCACATGCCCATATTTGATCAATGCCATTGAACTTGTACGGACACATGCCCATATTTGGTCAATGCCATTGAACTTGTATGGACACATGCACATATTTGATCAATGCCATTGAACTTGTATGGACACATGCCCAGATTTGATCAATGACATTGAACTTGTATGGACACATGCCCATATTTGATCAATGCCTTTGAACCTATATGGAGACATGACCATATTTACTCAATGGCATTGACTTTATATGAGCATGTGGCCATATAAGGTAAAATATGTCACCACCATCCCACCACTTTGTTTAAGTGCAGATGCAAGGTGGGGAATGTCCCAGCTGCAGCTGATTGGGCCGGTACTGTTGGCTTCCTTCCCAGTTCGGATGAGCTAGAGTTTGGTCCAACCAGACGCTGTATTATATTGCGGTGCACACCTGTCATGATTAGTAATGCTTAAATAGGCTCCTGGACATTTGGTCTGCGCCTGATCAACAAATTGTCAGCATGCCCTACTCAGGAACATACCCGTGATTTGGACTGTACTAAAACTTTATTTTGCATCTGCCCTGAAAATGTTTTATTAATTCCTCACGCTATTCAAAGCTAAACAAAAATAGTTTAACGCGTGCTTTAGTAGTACCTGTCTTCTATAGTTCAAAAAAGGCAGCCATTTTATTGACATAGACAGCACTTGAGAATGCAGCCTATCAATAATGCATGAACAAGATGCATGAGTATCTATGTGCCTCCTGCCTCTCTGATGTCACTAGTTTCTAGAAAATTGAATATTGCTTTAGGATAATAAAATGGTTCCTGCTTTTGTGTAGCAAAGTCTTCTTTAATTTGGTAGGCCTTTGTGGGTGTTGCCATTGCCCACTATTCGATTCATTCATTGCTCTGCTCGAAGAATTTTTAAGTTTGTACCTGCTGCCCAGGAAAAGGTCTAGATTTTTTCAATATTAAAGGCAGACATATTTCTAAAGTTTAAGCCTATCAGTGACAAAAAGACAGATAGGCTTTTAAAGCTGACCTTTACAAGTTCAAAAGGCCAATCGGTGACCCCGTGACAACAAATCAGATCTTTGCTTTGATCAGACTGGAGGAAATAAGAAAGAGCCTGTGTGTCATTAGTTGGATATTTGTGCTATCAGCACAGATGGGATTATATCTAATACTAAAGAAATGGGAACCATGGCGGTGTAGCCTATCTATTAGTTTATTTTATTGGGCCACTAAGGGACTTAGAGAGAAAGCCAATTTTTGTGGTTTAGAAATCTTCTCCTTTTGGAAATATTAGCTCCCTAGCTGTCAGAATGGCTTCAGTACCTTCCAAGTCCCTGACCTACAACAAGTATAGATATAACAAGTTATGGCTTCATTGGCGTTCCTGACCTGTGTATATACAGTGAGGGGAATTTATCAAAACTTGAGCAGACAATATCTGGAGCAGCTGTGCATGGCAACCAATCAGCTTCTCTCTTTCATTTTCAAATCTTAACTGAACAAATTGAAGAGAGAAGCTGATTGGTTGTCATGAGC